CCAAGCCTTCCCTAGGTTTTGTTTTTGTTTTATTTGTTTTTTTTTTTTTTTTTGAGACGGAGTGTCACTCTTACCCAGGCTGGAGTGCAGTGGCATGATCTCAGCTCACTGCAACCTCTCCCTCCCGGGTTCAAGCAATTCTTCTGCCTCAGCCACCAAAGTAGGTGGGATTACAGGTGCCTGCCACCACACCTGGCTAATTTTTGTATTTTAGTAGAGACGGGTTTTCACTTCTTGGCCAGGCTTGTCTCAAACTCCTGACCTCAGGTGATCTGCCCGCCTCGGCCTCCCAAAGTGTTGAAATTACAGGCGTGAGCCACCGTGCCTGGCCCTTCCCCAGGTTTTGGAAATGGAGGCTGGTCCAAGCGGCGAGGTCAGCGGGGAAGACCACTGGTCAAGCATGGGGTACCTGTCTCTTGGAGCCCTTACCTCCCTGTTTTTTTTTGTCTTCGTGTGTGTTTGTGTGTGCTGTTCCTGGCACATTTATCCATCTCCACCTCTACCCTCCTCTCTCCACCTCTACCCTCTTGTCTCTCTTGGTCTCTTCTTCCCAACGTGGCTTACTGGAAAGGACCTGGGCTGCAACATCAGGCAGGCCTGGATTTATCCTTCCACCACTTACTGGCTGTGTAACCTTGGAAAGTTACATAGCTTCTCTGAGCTTTGGTTTCTTCATCAGTAAAATGCCCATCAGTAAAATCCCTTCTGGATCCGCATAGGGATAAAGTGAGCTAATGTAATTACAGAGGTAATCTGCGACATTGTCGGCCTCAGAAAAGGACTGTCTTTCTTGTACGTGGAGGAGCCGAGATTCATACCTAGACACTGACCCTTAGTCTGGTGCTCTCTGCTTCATAAAACTGCCTCTGCTGTAGGCTGAAGAAGCAGAATAGAGACTAGGAGCCCTTAGGCAGCTGGGAAAGGCCTGGCTGGCTCCAAGGAGCTTGTCCCCGTGGAGACTGTGTGGGTCCAGCCCCAGGCATCCCCTGGCCCTGCAGAGCGGCCATGAGTCTGGCTGAGCCAGCAGTCTTCCTCTGGGGCCTCCGTGGGCTGGGTCCTATTTGCATGGGGGCTATAAATAGTCAGCACACCTTGCTTTTGTGCTGCTGCTTCACCCCCTCCTCCCTGCCATACACTCTGAGAGGTAGGGGGCAGACTCTGACTCTGCTGTGCAGAGCAGGGACTTGTGGCCCAGAGAGGCCCAGGACCTCTCTGAGGGTCACACAGTGATGGAAGAAGATGTGGGGCTCTGGGTAGTACAAATAGGGGCAGAGGAGGTGGCAGAACCTGGCCAGAGCCCGTGCCCTGGTTTTAGTCCTAGGAGGTTGGGTCTGACCCTATGGTTACTGCTGGTTAGCCTTGGGGCAGCCCATGAAGACCATGGCTCCCCAGTTCTCATGGTGCTGCAGCCTGGCGGTGCAGGTTTAGGCTGGGGCCTGCTGTGGTTGTGGTTTTCCCTCCAGTGGCTTCTAACTGTGAGCAGCAGCTGCTCTGAGTGTGGCCTGAGAGAGCTGGAGGGCCATCCTTGGGTGGGAAGGTCCTGGGCTCTGCCTCACCCTCGTGGGGCTTCTCTGACCCACTGTCTCCTCCACCCTCCATACAGTCCTGGGGTAGTCCCCACGCATACCTCCTGCTGGGCAGGCTGGGGGCAGGGGAAGCCATGGAGCTTATGGGCTGTCAGGGCTGGGCCCCAAGGGTTGGTGGCTGGGAGGAGGACCTGGCTGGCCGATGTTGGAGCATCTGGTGCTCCTGAGTGAGTTATATGTTCATGGAGACCTGGTTTCCCTTTCTGAGCAGTGGGATCTGTAACCAAGGCTGTCTTCCTGGGCTGCTGGGCAGGGGGAATGGATGCGGTGGGGGATGCGAGTGCGCTTTGTAAACTGTGAAGGGAGGTGCACAGTGAGGGATGGATGCTGCAGTGAGAGAGGGTGACAGTGGTAAGAGGACCTCCCTCCCCAAGGCCTGTGGGGTTGATTGTAGCCATGATCCTACATGAGTTTTCATTCTCACCACAACCCTGGGCCAAGAGACTATTCCTCATCAGGAAATGGGAAGGCTGAGGCTCGGGAAGGCTGAGGCTCGGAAAGGCCAAGTGACCTGCACAGAGTCCACAGCCAAGGCAGCGTTGGTGTCAGGGTGCAGCACCCAGGCAGTCTGGCCATCATTTTGCCACATTAACTGCCCTGAGCCTCTCTCCCCTAGGAGTCCAGGCCACCTGCAACACACTTGCTCCTCCTTTATCTCTGCGCCCCTGTGCCCTCAACCCTCATCATCCTCCGAGGCACTCAGAAGTTGCTTACTGCTCCAGCTGGGTCTCCAGGTTTTCCTAACAGCAGGGCTGCATCTGCTGGATCAGGCCCTGGATGTGTGGACACAGACCTGCCAATCATTCCAGACCCAGGGAGTACTCACCTGGGTGCTGGATCTCTTGGACCCTCAGGGCCAAGCCAGGCAGCAAGAGGGGCAAGATGTCCGTCTTGCTTACGGGTTTGGGATGCTCAACCAGACTCCTGCATATGTGTGAGGCCAGGCCCACGTAGCTTGCTTTTCACTCCAATATTAACTGAGAGCCCACCATGTGCCACCCACTCCAATGGCTGCATATAATCGCATGCACCAGTAGACCTGTGCAACCTCACACGCACCAATTCATGCATGCTGCAGCCTGGGAAGCAGTCAGCAGCAGCCCCCAGCTGGCCCTCTCTCTGTGGCCCACCAAGAGGTCATGGGCAGCTGGCCTGGCACACAGGCCACCTGCTGGTGTCAAGCTGAAGGCTTTGGGACTTGGGCACGTGCATGAGCTTGCACACCCACTCTCACATCCACTGAGTAGGAGCCAAGGTTGAGCAGGGGATGTGGTGGGGTCTGCCTGCCTGGGTCCTGCTGTCTGCTCTGGCAGCTGCTGGCCTCAGAGGGCTGCCTGGACTCACTGGGCTGGGCTGCAGGGTGAAGTCAGCATTTGCTGTGAGCTCATCTGAGCTAAGAGCTCCCAGCAGATCTGGCTGCTGCTCTGGCCACCTTGTGCAGGAGCTGGAGGAAGTCATCTGGGGCTGGGCACCTGTTGTGTGTGCATGCACACGTGTGTGTCTGAGTGAGCCCCTGTGTGCTGGCTTATGTTCAGGATGGAGTGAATACACGTGTGTGTGCACAAAATCGAGTGAGCGCTCCCTCAACCAAGGCTATGGAGCAGCCTCGTGGGGCCTGGGCAGAAGCCAGTGTGCACATAGGTGCTTACACACCTGAGTGTCCTTCACAAGTGGCAACCTGAGGAGCCCCTTGGGGTCACTTACTATAGTGAACATTAACTTAGAGAATGGTGAGAAACCCAGGAGTGTGGGAGCTGCTGTGTGTGAATCTGCAAGGCACATTCAGTGTTACATTGAACATTAAAATACAGTTTGAGTTTTTTTTTTTTTTTTTTTCTGAGGCAGAGTCTCCCTCCGTTGCCCAGGCTGGAGTGCAATGGCATAGTCTCAGCTCACTGCAACCTCTGCCTCCCAGGTTCAAGCCATTCTTCTGTCCTCAGCCTCCCAAATAGCTGGGATTACAGGCATGCGCCACCACGCCAGGCTAGGTTTTGTATTTTTAGTAGAGACGGGGTTTCACCATGTTGGCCAGGCTGGTCTCAAACTCCTGAACTCAGGTGACCTGCCCGCCTTGGCCTCCCAAAGTGCTGAGATTACAGGCATGAGCCACCGCGCCTGGGCAGTTGGGTTTTTTTTTTAAGAGATAGGGTCCCACTCTGCTGCCCATGCTGGAGTGCACTGGTACGATCATGGCTGCCTTGAACTCTTGGCCTCAAGTGATCCTCTTACCTTGGCCTCCTGAAGTACCGAGATTATGGGAGTGAGCCACCATGCCCACCTGTTTTATATTTGGGGAAATAATTAGTTTGAAGGTGCAGGCAACTTTCCAGGCAGGCGAGAGGCACTTGACCCCAAGGGATCAAGTTAGAAGGGTCAGGCACACTGATGTAGGCAGAGCCTCTGATTGCCCTGATCCCTAAACAAAGTGGGTGCCAAGTTAGTGGAATGTCAGCTTTTGGTTCTGATTCTGCCTTAGAATTTCAGTTTCCCATTTGAAAAGTGAGGGTGTTTATCTTGGCCCTGCTTGTCTGCCTGGGTGGTTATGAAGAAAAAACCCCAAACTTAGAAAATCACAAAGGGCTGCATGGGGCAGGATGGGAAAAAGAGGTGGCACTGTCCTGTCCCCTTACCAGATAACAATGGCACATACCAGGTGCCTGGCATGGAGTAGGTGCCCAGCAATAGGGTACTTAGGGAGGCACTGAGTGACTCCCCAAATGAATATCTTGGGGTGATAGATGCAAATGCCACCAAGGCCCAGGTAGGTTTTGAGGAGGAGTGAAGAGAGTGCCCTTGGCCTGGGGTAGATTGATGGAGGGCAGCCATCCCATTGCTAGCTGGCTGTTGCCCAGTGGGCCCAACGTCACATTTTCCAGTTTTACCAGAGACACCACAAATCCAGACTTACATAAACCTCTCAATTTTTTTCTTTTCTTTTTTTTTTTTTTGAGATAGAGTTTGGCTCTTGTCACCCAGACTGGAGTGTAGTGGTGCGATCTCGGCTCACTGCAACCTCGGCCTCCCGGGTTCAAGTGATTCTCCTGCCTCAGCCTCCCAGATAGCTGGGATTACGGGTATGCACCACCACACCCAGCTAATTTTCAGTAGAGGCGGCTTTTCACTATGTTGGTCAGGCTGGTCTCGAACTCCTGACCTCAGGCCATCTGCCTACCTTGGCCTCCCAAAGTGCTGGGATTACAGGTGTGAGTCACTGCACCCGGCAAACCTCTCAGTTTTTAACACTGGCAACTGAGACTAGTGTGTATATGCACCATGTGGGCCAAATCCAATCGTGGGAGAGCCCTGGGGGAGTGGGTCCCTGAGTGCTGCCTGTGACTGTTCCCAGTAGTCCTGCCCGTGACTGTTCCCAGTAGTCCTGCCCGGCCGCCTGGCCTCATCCCTCTGTGTGCACAGGCCCACTGCAGGCCCTGCCATGGCGCCATTCCTGCGCATCGCCTTCAACTCCTACGAGCTGGGCTCCCTGCAGGCTGAGGACGAGGCGAACCAGCCCTTCTGTGCCGTGAAGATGAAGGAGGCGCTTAGCACAGGTAGGCCTGGAGGCTGGACCCTGGAGAGGGGCTGGGAATCTGGGCCCAGCTGGAGGGACTGTAGGGGGCCTGGCCTTGTTCCCTACAACCTCTGAAGGATTCTGCTCTTCCTCATCCTTGGCTCCCTGCCCCGTTCAGCTATGAAGGCAGAGGCCACTGAGTCTCTATAGGGCTGCAAACACTGGCCAAATTGAGCCCTCCTTGGAAGGCTTGGAGTTTCTGGCTCCTCCTCCACTGGTTGTTTTACCCAACAATTTTTACATGTCCGTCTGTGCCAGGGCCTGTGCTGGACACTGAGGATACTGTCATGCTCCAGGACTGACCTGGCCTTGCCCTCATGGGGTTCATAGTCAGGTGGGGAAACCAGGCATGTCACAAAGCAGTGAGTCCTGCAATAGGGAAGCCCAGAGAAGGCACCCTCTGAACCTGAGGTCAGGGAGGACTTCCTGGAGGAAGCACATACCTCACACCATTCCCTCTTGCTTTTGCCCTGGCCTGGTGAACCCCTAGTTGTCCCTCAGGTCTCAGCTGAACTGTCCCTTCCTCTAGGAAATCTTCCCTGACCCTTAGGCTTGACCCTGTGGCCACTTGACCATAGGCAAGTCTAGCACTACCAGCCTTACCCTCTTCAGTCTCATCACAGCTGTGACTTAACAGTTACTTGAGGAAGGAGTTGGTGCATTCGCCACCCGGGCCTGGGGATCCAGGAGGACAGGCCCGGGATGTAGCTTTTCTTTCAGCTGTGTTCCACGCATCGAATATTATGGCTGGCATGCAAGAGCTGTCAGCCCATGTTCCCTGAGTGAATGCATAAGGGCAGGCGACATTTAAATGGAGCTGGAGCAAGAGGGACACAGGAAGAGGGACCAGCAGGAACAAAGGCCTGGAGGGAGGACCTAGCACGGTGCCCGAGACAGTTCTGTGCTCTAGAGGACACTGGGGGACCACAGCAGGCCCTCAGGGCAGGAGAGTCGGGCAGATTCTGCCAGGGGAAGGCCGTGGGGATCCAGGAGGGAGGGACAGAGGGGCCCTGACCCAACCTTCCCTGCCTGGCCTTGTTGCAGAGCGTGGGAAAACACTGGTGCAGAAGAAACCGACCATGTATCCTGAGTGGAAGTCGACATTCGATGCCCACATCTACGAGGGCCGCGTCATCCAGATCGTGCTAATGCGGGCAGCCGAGGAGCCAGTGTCTGAGGTGACCGTGGGTGTGTCGGTGCTGGCCGAGCGCTGCAAGAAGAACAATGGCAAGGCTGAGTTCTGGGTGAGGGGCGCACGAGCCGCGCCGTGTGTGTGTGTGTGTGTGTGTGTGTGTGTGCGCGCGCGCGCACACTCGCGCTCGCATGCGCACGCCTGCATCAGTGTGTGGGCTCAGTTAGTGAGCACAGCTGAAGGGCACCAGGCCCTGTGCTGGCCACCAGTCCAGCCCTGTGGCCAATGTGGCCTGGGTGTGAATCCTGGCTCTGCAATTCACCAGATTCCCAGCCTCTCTGAGCTTCTGCTTCCACATCTGTTAAGGGAGGGCGCTACTAAATGTGCCTACCTCAGGGTCAGTTGTTCAAATGAAAGGAGCAGCTGGATGTACAGGGCTTATTGCAGAACCTGACACATAGCGGGTGCTAAAGACAGCCAACTTCATTATTGTGACTACTTTTTCCTTTTTAATTTTGGAAAGGCAGGATATGCACATAGTAAAACTTTTTTAACTGCACGAAAGGGTGTGTCCCTGCCCCAAAACCAGGCCACCAGGCCTCCTTCCCAGAGGCACCCATTATTCCAGTTCTTTTTGGAATCTTCGCATATATTCTAGACCTTGGCAGCCATTGAGGGGGCAACATAGTGACCTTTAACAGCAAGGAGGTGGGAGAAGGGGAGGCTTACGGTCTCATCTACTTACCTGCTGAAATGGAGACTCAGCACAAGCAAGTGGCCACCTGGCCATGTGCAGCTGTGTGTTATGGGTGGCCACAGGATGCCAGCTCTGGCGGAAGTCCCCTGGGGTTACATGTGGGATGTAAGCAAGATGTCTCCACCAGGAAAGGCCCTGTGACCACTGGAGACTCAGATCAGCCTCCTGCGAGGGGTGAGGGGGCTGGGATGGGAGAGAGGTTGACACAGGGCTGTACTGACCCTTGGCCAGTCAGGCAGAGACACAGAGGGGCCTCTGGCTGTGCTGTCTCCACTCCCCCAAGGGAGGATATCAGTCACCAGGTCTGGGTCTTGGGGGAGGTGAGGGGATAGAGGCTCAGGTCCCACCCTCAAGACTGTCCAGTCTGCATGAGGAGCCCTTGGCACAGATGGAGGGGCAGCGTGTGTGCACGAGGATGAGTGTGTCTGTCTCTCTCCACATGTGCACATGGGTAGGGGCCTCCATTCTAAGATCCTTGCTAAGGGGGCCGCCGTGGGTAGGGGTGGGGAATTTCCCTTCCCGCTCTGTTCCCCAGCTATGTGTCTGGGCTGGGTGTGGGCTGGACCCTTTCACTTCCCTAAATGTAATAATACCCCTGGGTACAGTGTGGGGGTGGGGCTCAGGGGTGGGGCTCAGGCAGGGCCCTGCCCACACTGGGCAGACAAGTGTCTGGCTAGGCCTTGGGGGGCTGCCTTGGCCTTGAGGGACCAGCCATGGGGGCGGGTTCTGAGTTTGGCCTGGCCCAGGCCACCCTCACTGACCTTGTTCTCCCCTGGCCTCTGGCCCCCAACAGCTGGACCTGCAGCCTCAGGCCAAGGTGTTGATGTCTGTTCAGTATTTCCTGGAGGACGTGGGTAAGAACTCCCTGGGGATGGAGGGGGCTCCTTTGCCTGGTTCAGAGGCAGAGCCAGCACTGAGGCATAGGGAAGCGGCTCCCTTTGGCAGACTGTCCAGGGCCACCCTGGGAGGGAGTGCAGGGGTGCCACCCCTCCCAGATACCAGGGCTGACTTCCCTACTCCATGGTCCCCAGATTGCAAACAGTCTATGCGCAGTGAGGACGAGGCCAAGTTCCCAACGATGAATCGCCGCGGAGCCATCAAACAGGCCAAAATCCACTACATCAAGAACCATGAGTTTATCGCCACCTTCTTTGGGCAACCCACCTTCTGTTCTGTGTGCAAAGACTTTGTCTGGTGAGAACTGGCCATGCCCACTGGTGGTGGTGCAGGGTAGTGGGGGCCGATCCCAGTCCCCACTCACTCACTTTGCCTGGGTTTTGCCTTTCAGGGGCCTCAACAAGCAAGGCTACAAATGCAGGCGTAAGTGTCTCCACAGGCCAGTTTGTACGTATGTACCCGTGTGTGCTAACGTGTGCCAGTGCCTATGTGTGTGCCGGTGCCTGTGTGCGCTCAGAGAGTGTATGCACGTGAATTTTCCCTGTGTAGACACAGCAGCTGAGTTCAGTGAGTGCTGGGGCTGGCTTGCTGCTGCTCTGGAAAACCAGTTCTGTGCCTCTCTTCCCAGCTGCGTATTCAGTGACCGGGAGTTGGTGGATGGCAATTGGGCACAGTAGAGTATTCACGCAGAAACCAGCCCAGGCCATGCGCCAGGCCTCTTTTCCCTGGAGAGGCAGTGATAGGACCTGTACTAGCACACAGTGGCTGCATGTGCTTCTGTGTAGATGTGGGTGTCTCTGAGTACACAGGTGTGAGCACACTCTCTCCCTGAGGGTGCATGCACGAGGCGCCGCAGGCTGGAGCCAGACTGCCTGGGTTTGAATCCTAGCTCTACCACTTCCTAGCTATAGAGTGTTAGGCAAAGTTACTTAATCTCTCTATGCCTCAGTTTCCTGATCTATAATTTTTTTTTTTGGAGACTGAGTCTCATTCTGTTTCCCAAGCTGGAGTGCACACAGTTGCGTGATCTCAGCTCACTGTAACCTCCCTCTCCCAGGTTCAAGCAATTCTCTTGCCTCAGCCTCCCGAGTAGCTGGGATTACAGGCGTGCACCACCATGCCTGGCTAGTTTTTGTATTTTTAGTAGAAATGGGGGTTTTGTCATGTTGGCCAGGCTGGTCTCGAACTCCTGACCTCAAGTGACGTACCCACCTCAGCCTCCCAAAGTGCTGGGGTTACAGGCGTGAGCTATTGTGCCTGGCCCTCATCTATAAATTAGATATAACTATAATGTATAATAGGGTCATTGTGAAGATCAAATGGAGTAAGATATGTAAGGCTGTATTTTAAGTGCCTTCCGCTGGCAGTCGTTCTGTGTAAGAAGTTTGTTATCATTATTACATGTGTTTTGTGTGTATGTACAGGTGTCTGTTTTGAGGCGTGTCCGTGTGCATGTGTGAGAGAGGGCGTTTAGGAGCTGTTTGCTATCCCAGGGCTTGGAAGAGGGAAAGAACTGCCCCCACTTCTCATATTGCGATGCCCCGTGCCCCCTAACTTCTGCCCACCTCCCTGCCCACTAGGACTCCTTCATTTCTAAGCTCCTGCAGATTGGCCTGTCCTCTCCACCCCGTCCTCTCCAGGCCCCTCCTTCGAGGGCTGGCGGGAGGAAGACTCAAGCGCTGGGCCTCTGCGGGGTGAGGGTGTGGGTGGTCAGGAGAACGGTGGCTTTGTGTAGAGGGCTGGACTGACCGGCAGGCACCAGCTCATAGACTCTGCCCCTCCCGGTGCCCTCCCTTCCCCCTTCTGGGCCTGTGCCTCTTCAAGAATGTAACGCTGCCATCCACAAGAAATGCATCGACAAGATCATCGGCAGATGCACTGGCACTGCGGCCAACAGCCGGGACACCATAGTGAGCCTGGGGCTGGGGCAGGGCTGGGATCGGGGGGGCTTAGCCACATGGGAGGGATTTACGCCCTCTCCCTGCCCTCCGGGGATAGCTTACCCTCCCTCCCCATTTTTCTTAGTCTTTCCTTGCCTCTCCCAGTGGAGCTCTCTTGGGATGTTGTGCCCAGGGTTGGGGGAGAGCTGGGGGCTGAAGAAGGGGCTGGAGCTGGCACTTGACCCTCAGCCTGTGATACCCCCACCCCCAGTTCCAGAAAGAACGCTTCAACATCGACATGCCGCACCGCTTCAAGGTTCACAACTACATGAGCCCCACCTTCTGTGACCACTGTGGCAGCCTGCTCTGGGGACTGGTGAAGCAGGGATTAAAGTGTGAAGGTGCGTGCCACCCCGCCCCTGGGCTGCAGGAGGGGCACTCCCAGCTGGTGCTGCTGTGAATTCCAGCCACCTCACACCGCCCTCACCCCCTCACCTAGAGACGGGCACCTCATTCAGGGACCTGATGAGGGTGAGGCCTTGGTGGACCCTCCCCACTGGCCTGACTGGCTCTGCCACTTACCTGCTGTGTAACCACAGGTGTGTGGCTCCACCTCTCTGAGCCATTTGGAGGGGAAAAGCAGGACCTAGAGAGTCCCTGTTAGGGGCCAGTGAGCACAGGATGCTGAAGCCAGGCGTGGTGCACACCGGCAGGCGCCCAGACACGCCTCCACTGCCCTCTGCTTCACTTAGAGATGAGACAGAAGACCCTGGAGGGAAAGCGGCTTAAGTTGACCCAGATGTTCTTTGAAGGGTTTTGAATTAGGTGCCATGTCTTCTGGTTTTTCCTTTTTCTTTAAATCATGAAAGATTGGCCGAGCACGGTGGCTCACGCGTGTATTCCCAGCACTTTGGGAGGCCGAGGTGGGCGGATCTTGAGGTCAGGAGATTGAGACCATCCTGGCTAACATGGTGAAACCCCGTCTCTACTAGAAAAAAATACAAAAAAATACAAAAAAATTAGCCAGGTATGGTGGCACGTGCCTGTAGTCCCAGCTACTCGGAAGGCTGAGGCAGGAGAATGCCACGAATCCGGGGAGGCAGAGCTTGCAGTGAGCCGAGATCACGCCACTGCACTCCAGCCTGGGTGACAGAGGGAGACTCCATCTCAAAAAAAAAAAAAACCAAAAAAAAAAAAAACATGAAAGATTGAGGTGCTTGGCCAGGCGTGGTGGCTCACACCTGTAATCCCAGCACTTTGGGAGGCCAAGGTGGGTGGATCACTTGAGGTTGGGAGTTCGAGACCAGCCTGGCCAACATGGAGAAACCCCATCTCTACTAAAAATACAAAATTAGCTGGGTGTGGTGATGCATGCCTGTAATCCCAGCTACTCAGGAGGCTGAGGCAGGAGAATCACTTGAACCCAGGAGGCAGAGGTTGTGGTGAGCCGAGATCACGCCATTGCACTCCAGCCTGGGCAACAAGAGGGAAACTCCATCTCAAAAAAAAAAAAAGAGAGATTGAAATATATATGATGGCTTCAGATCAATGTTTTCCTAAAAACTGGAACCCAGCAGACCCCGCTAAAGCCCTCCTTTCTCATGCTCTCCTGCCCCTCTCCTACACTGCCCCCTGCCCTTGGCTGAGCTCCAGGACTGACAGCCCCACTTCTCCCTCACCCCAGACTGCGGCATGAATGTGCACCATAAATGCCGGGAGAAGGTGGCCAACCTCTGCGGCATCAACCAGAAGCTCTTGGCCGAGGCCTTGAACCAAGTCACCCAGGTGGGCAGGTGCTATGGGGACCCTGGACACAGGGCAGTGGGGTCAGGGACAGTCAAGGCTCACAGCCACTGCTGGGGAGCCACAGACAGCCAGGGTACATTTAGACCCAGGACTCTACTTCGGGAAGATCCAACTCAAGAATTTAGGCAGCAGAGGAAGGGGGGCTTTTTTTCATGAGAAATTCATTATTCAAGCAGTTCTTTCCTTGAGAGTGAACCTGGGGACCACAGGATTGGGTGTTGGAACACTTTGAACTAAGACTTTGGGTGTGGACGTTTGTACATGGGTGGGGCTTGAGAGATGCCACAAAACCTAAAGGTAAAATTTTAGAATCAATCAGAAATGAAGCTAAATAGTCAAATAAAATCTATTGAGTGAGTGGTTGGGAAGGTAGGGTTCCGTTTACAAAACTTCTGTTCGTAATCAGAGCCTTTCAGACCACTGAGGCTTCTCTGGGCTCCGGGAAGAGTGTGCGTGTGTACACGCAGCCTGAGTAGGGGGCCTGGGCTGTGCCCCTGTTGTCTCCTCTTGGTGTTGAGGGTGGAGTTATACCTGGGGGTCTTCCTTCTGGGCTGGGAGTTCTGATAATGGTCTGACCATCTGGCCCCCCACCTCTGCTCCCTCCCCAGAGAGCCTCCCGGAGATCAGACTCGGCCTCCTCAGAGCCTGTTGGGATATACCAGGGTTTCGAGAAGAAGACCGGAGTCACTGGGGAGGACTCGCAAGGTGAAGCTGGGTCCATTGGCCCTGTACAGTTTGTATTCCCCCTGAGGCCAAAGAAAGGGGACTGTCCTTCCTTCCGTTGTCAAGTGAGACATGGGAGGAACCCCCGGCCCTGGGGAGTGAGCCCCTTCCTCTGTGAGGCCCCTTCCCCCCTGAGGCCCCTTCCCCCAGCCTACCCCGGGCCCTGGGGAGGGGAGTTGTGTAGACTGAGACCCCGATCTAAGGAGGTGCCGTCTCTCGGGCAGACAACAGTGGGACCTACGGCAAGATCTGGGAGGGCAGCAGCAAGTGCAACATCAACAACTTCATCTTCCACAAGGTCCTGGGCAAAGGCAGCTTCGGGAAGGTGAGGGCTGTGAGCCGGGCACCTGCTTCCCACCTCACCCTGGCTGCTTCCCACTTAGGTGGCTGAGGCGGGAGTCTGAATTGGGCTGTGGCCCCTGCCCCGTCCTCCCCTGCTCAGCACCTGTGCCTCCCCATCAGGTGCTGCTTGGAGAGCTGAAGGGCAGAGGAGAGTACTTTGCCGTCAAGGCCCTCAAGAAGGATGTAGTCCTGATCGACGACGACGTGGAATGCACCATGGTTGAGAAGCGGGTGCTGACGCTCGCCGCAGAAAATCCCTTTCTCACCCACCTCATCTGCACCTTCCAGACCAAGGTGCCTGGGCCTCCTGCCGTCACCGCCTCATGCCACAGCCATGTCCCACAGCCCCTCAGCCCCTCTAAGTCAGGGCTGTGTCTCCCCCTCAGGCCACTTAAAGCAGGGCCATGCTTTCCCCCTCATGCCTCCCAGGGCAGAGTTGTCCCCCTCAGCCAGGGCCTGTCCCTGCTGTTTCCTGTTGGGGCTTGGCCCCAGTGGCCCTGAGTGAGGGAGCCTCCTGCCTGTTCCTCACCCCTGCTCACCACCCTCCCCACCCCAGGACCACCTGTTCTTTGTGATGGAGTTCCTCAACGGGGGGGACCTGATGTACCACATCCAGGACAAAGGCCGCTTTGAACTCTACCGTGCCACGTATGTGAGGGCCATGGTGGGGAAGGGCCCAGCGTGGAGGAAGGGCCACTGGCTCAGAACCCACTGCCAGTCTGCCCTCCATGCCTTCTTCCCTCTCCCTAGAAAAGCCAGCCTGGGCTAGAGCAGCAGCTGGGGAGATGTGGGGGTAGCCTGGGTCCACACCACACAGGAAGCCATGGGTGGCAAGTGAGCTGCGGCTGGGGGCTCAGTGCAAATACTCTGGGTCCTGGCCCCTCTGCGGGCCACAGCCAGGGCAGCCTTGCAAATGGTGGTCTTACACGACACAGGACACCGGACCCTGGTGCATGGCCCCCAGACCTGCTTTTCCCCATTCACATGCCCCCACACCCCAAACTAACCGTGTGTGTGTGCATGCATGCAAACACATGTGTACATGCATATAAATGCATATACTCTTAGAGAACTGGCTCACTGAGAGCTTTCCCTTCAGAACTTTCTGCCTGGGCTGCCAGCCCCCACTTACCTGATACAAGATGTACTTGATGTACTTGATCATGCTTAGGTTGTCCATGGAGTTATTTGCAGCATTTCTTGCCCCTGGAAGTGGGGATGAGGGCCCTAGGAGAAGCAGAGGCTGCTTGGCAGAGATCCTGGAACACTTTGTCTCTCTCTCTTGCCCAGGTTTTATGCAGCTGAGATAATCTGTGGACTGCAGTTTCTACACAGCAAGGGCATCATTTACAGGTGCAGGGGTTAGGGCAGCGGGGGGGCTCTTGGGAGGGGAGGCTCCAGCCCCATCATATCTTCTGAAATGCTGCAAGCAGGATTCCCCCAACTCCAGTTCCTTCTCTGCTGGAAATCAATCTTTAGCTGGGGATTTGCTTAAACCTCCCACCCTGGTGCAAGCATTCCTGTGGCCCCCATTTGAGGCCGGCTTAGCTCCAAGAACTAGGAACTCACTGCCCGTATTTGACACCATCGCCCCGCCCATCCTTGGAGCCATCAGTCTCGCTCGGAAGACCCATCGAGTCATCTAAGCTTCCACTAGAAGAGACTGGTTCCATAAAGTCTCATCTAATAAGTTATGATTCCATCCTATGGTAGGAACTGTACACCCACCAAAAAGGCTGCGGCCAGGCTCTGTTTACTGACGTGGGATAATGCCAAGACACGCTGTTAAGTGGAAAACCAACCTGTGGGAGAGTGTGTATCGAATATTAGCATTCAGGCTTTAAAACGTGGGAGAGAGGCTGGGTGCGATGGCTCACGCCTGTAATCCCAGCAATTTGGGAGGCCGAGGTGGATGGATCACCTGAGGTCAGGAGTTTGAGACCAGCCTGACCAACATGGTGAAACCCTGTCTCTACTAAAAAATACAAAAATTAGCTGGGCATGGTGGTGGATGCCTGTAATCTCAGCTACTCAGGAGGCTGAGGCAGGAGAATTGCTTGAACCCGGGAGGCAGAGGTTGCAGTGAGCCAAGATTGCACCACTGCATTCCAGCCTGGGTGACACTGCCAGACTCCATCTCAAAAAAAAAAAAAAAAAAAAAGTGGGGAGCAAGCTGCATGCTGCCATATGCTTGTCCATGCCTAGAATTGCTCTAAGGAGAGCCTGGTGATTGAGCTCAGTGGAAGGCAGACTTTGTACTGTTTGCCATTTCTAGTTCCCATATGCATAAAGTATCTACTCAAATGACTAATTACTGAATATAGACATGGTCCCCACCTTTGGGGAGTAGACAAAACAACCTGGGGATCACTTCTGCTGCCGACTGCTAGGGGACCCTGGACAAGTGACATCACCTGTTTGAGCCCCATTTGGGTTTCAGGAAGTAGAGCGGTGTGTGCCCAGCATTTAGCACACAGTAGGGGACTTGCAGGAAGCACCTGTTTTTAGGATCTCTTTCTCCTGCTTCCTTTTCTCTTTCTCATTCCCTTGTACTCTTGGGACAGTCCTGGACTAATATGGCTGAAAATTAGGACATGGCGGGCAGGGTGGGGAAGGAGAAGAAATGGCTCCTGCTGACTCTTACCTGTCCCCTGTCCTTAGGGACCTCAAACTGGACAATGTGCTGCTGGACCGGGATGGCCATATCAAGATTGCCGACTTTGGGATGTGCAAAGAGAATATATTCGGGGAGAACCGGGCCAGCACCTTCTGCGGCACTCCTGACTATATCGCCCCTGAGGTGAGCTGATACCCTTCCATACCCCCACTCAGTCAGGCACCTTGCCTCCCCACGGTGGGCGGGAGAAGGCTTCCCAAGGGCAGTGAGGTCCAAGCCAAAGCCCATAGGCCGAGGCGGCCTGGCTAGGGCTCGTGCCCAGGGGCCCCTCTCAGCCCCAGCACCTCAGCTCCTGCTGACCTGCTCTCCCTCAGATCCTGCAGGGCCTGAAGTACACATTCTCGGTGGACTGGTGGTCTTTCGGGGTCCTTCTGTATGAGATGCTCATTGGCCAGTCCCCCTTCCATGGTGATGATGAGGATGAACTCTTCGAGTCCATCCGTGTGGACACACCGCATTATCCCCGCTGGATCACCAAGGAGTCCAAGGACATCCTGGAGAAGGTGCAGGCCCTGGGCTGGGCTGGGGCAGGGGCAGGGGCTGGTAGACACTGGGCTTTGGGTGAGGAGCTTCCTGTCTCTGGAATGGCAGCCTCAGTGGTGCCACAGTCCTAACATACAGGGTGTTGCTCTCTCACCATGTTCCCAGGAACTCCTGTCGAGTCCTGTGCATGGAATCAGCCTGACATGGTGACTAAGGGCCCAGGGTCAGGAGACAGACAGACCCGAGGCCAAACGCTGGCTCTGCTTGGGACTAGCTGGTCACAACCTCTTAGAGTTTGTCTCCTTATCTGCAAAATGAGGCTATAAGCAGTCTTGCCTCACAGAGTTGTTGGGAAGAAAATAGAAACATACGATGCTCAGCTGTCAGCCAGGCAGATAGTAAATAATAAAAAGTCCCATTAGCAGAGTCGTGGATGTCCAGCCCAGAGCCTGTCATCTCTGGGGAAACTGGGAGCACTGCATGCCAGAGTGGCCTCCCTCAGCCCCACTGTTCCCCAGGCTGACTGCGGGGCTGGGGCAAGCCTGGCTTTGCATCCCTGGGCCTGCTGGGGATTTGCTGAAGCTCCAATTTCCCATGGTCCTTGGGTGCTAACCTGGGTTGCTGGGTTGCAGCTCTTTGAAAGGGAACCGACCAAGAGGCTGGGAGTGACCGGAAACATCAAAATCCACCCCTTCTTCAAGACCATAAACTGGACTCTGCTGGAAAAGCGGAGGTTGGAGCCACCCTTCAGGCCCAAAGTGGTACGTGATCCTGCCCTGCACTGTCTTCGGGCTGGGCTCCTCCTCTCCTGCCCTCCCTCTCTCCTACATCACTCACACGCTTTCCACCTCTCCCTTCTTCCAGCAAGTCTACTTCCCCGATCTCCACAGCATGTTCAGTCACAGCTGCTGCCCTTGTATTCTCATCCTCTCCCTCCTGACTCAGTGAGCACACACTGGGGACTGTGGATCCCACTGTATGCACAGGACCCTGTTTTGGGAAATAGAGTTAAAACCTCATGTTATTACTCCATTCAATCCATTCTCCAATACATATGGGGAGTCCTGAGTCCCTGTTGAATGCAGAGCACAGTGCTTGGCTGCACAGCAAAGTGCGAGACACGGTCCCAGAACCGGAGGAGTTCGCAGCTAGTTGGAGAGATAAGAAACTTGCACACCGATGACAATTTGTGATACGAGATGACAGCCTAAGAGATACCCCAGGACACATGATCAGTTGCTGTTGAGTGGGTCTGTCAGCAGGAGCCCAGGCGGCAGAGAAGAGGGTGGGTCTGAGAGGCCCCCTTGGAAGAAGTGAGACTAGCAGGGCTGGGAGGTCTGAGAGGCTCCCTTGGAAGAAGTGAGACAAGGGACAGCTGGGAGGCATTCCAGGTGGAAGAGGGGATGGTTCACTCAAAGGCCCAGAATCTACAGGGCCACCAAGGAACCAGCCTGAGAGCAGAGGCAGGTGTGGCCCCTCTGTGACCACAGTTCTTCCTTCCCACTCCCTTTGTCTCCTTTGATTCCCTTCCTCCACCAGGGCACACAGTTCCCACTGGGCAGCCTGTGTAATGCACCCCACATTTGTGCTTTGAGGCTACAGAGCACTTCCCCTACACCAAGGACCTCAAACTCAGACGTGTCCTGGCTGAGCATGTAACTGACAGGCTAGGCCAGCTGCAAGAAAATCACACAGCCTGCTTTCAGTCTCACTTTTGATAGATTTCCTTCTCTGCACTAAGAAACACAAAGCAGGTGTGATGTACCCCTTGTCAGTGGGGCAGGGGCTGTCCAGGGGGCTCTCATCACCAAGAGTGGGCAGGAAGTAGGGCCACAGCTGCTTTAATCTGCCAGTTTTCAAAAGAAGCTGGAAATCTGGATTTTTATGTTGCATTGTTCAATTTTAAAATATAGGTTCAGGCTGGGCGCAGTGACCCACACCAGTACTTTGGGAGGCTGAGGCAGGCAGATCACCTGAGGTCAGGAGTTCGAGACCAGCCTGGCCAACATAGCGAAACCGTCTCTACTACAAAAAATACCAAAAAATCGGTCGGTTACGGTGGCGCGTGCCTGTAATCCCAGCTACTCAGGAGGCTGAGGCAGGAGAATCGCTTGAACCCGGGAGGCGGAGGTTGCAGTGAACCGAGATCATGCCACTGCACTCTAGCCTGGGCAACAGAGTGAGACTCCATCTCAAAATATATACATCAATAAAAATAAATTAAATAAATAAATAAATAAAATACAGGTTGAAATTCCATTAAAACCCAGTTCAAGCTGAAATGATTATACTTGCCAGTTCAGTTTGGCCAAAGGGCCACCAGCTTGCGGTCTCTCTGTGTGACCATCCCATCACATCCTTAGAAGCAGAGAATCAGCAAATTTCTCCTGTCAACAGCCTGATAGTATATATTTTGGACTTTTCAGGCTTGATGGTCTCAAAGCAGTCACAGACAGTACATCAACAAATGGGCATGGTTGTGTATTACAAAAGCTTTATTTATGGAAAGTGAAATTTGAATTTCACCTAATTTTCATGTCTTGAAATATTTTTCTTTTGTTTTTTTTTTTCCAACCACTTAAAAATGCGAAAGCCATTCTTAGCTTGTGGGCCCCACAAAAACAGATGGTGAGTGAGATTTGGCCTCCATGGGCTGTGATTTGGTGGCCCCTGAGCAGGAGGCTACCACCTCTCCTCACCCAGGCCCAGAGCTCCTTGGTCACTTTCCTCCTCCTCTTGGGGAAATGGCAGCCTCTTTCCTGTGGGGCTCCTTTTAGGCTGCTAGGGGAGGCTCCCTCTTCCGTTCTGGGTGAGGACAGCTCTGGCCTGGCCCAGCCCTGCAGGGACTCCAGCCTGGGGTGTCTGGAGGGCCATTCCCTACGTCCTGTTCGCTCACCCCTGCCCTCTGCTTGTAGAAGTCCCCCAGAGACTACAGCAACTTCGACCAGGAGTTCCTGAACGAGAAGGCGCGCCTCTCCTACAGCGACAAGAACCTTATCGACTCCATGGACCAGTCTGCGTTTGCCGGCTTCTCCTTTGTGAACCCCAAATTCGAGCACCTCCTGGAAGACTGAGGTTCCTGGACAGAGCAGGCTAGCCCCGCCCTCCACCCACATCTGCCCGCTCCCCACAATAAGCACCAGAGGGACTGTGGTGACTTCTGCTGCTGGCCCCGCCCCTGCCCCCAGAGCGGCCTTGGCTCCTGTCTGGCCAGGCTCTCATGGTACTTCCTCTGTGAACTGTGTGTGAATCTGCTTTTCCTCTGCCCTCGGAGGGAAATTGTAAATCCTGTGTTTCATTACTTGAATGTAGTTATCTATTGAAAATATATATTATATATATAGACATATATATATATAAAATAGGCTGTATATATTGCTCAGTAGAGAAAAACCATGGGGGACTGGTGACATGTTGATCTTTTTCAAAAAAATATATATACGACAAAAAAAAAAAAAAAAAAAAAGGAGCACAAGCTGTTTGAACCACCAGGTTCTTTTATTTGTGTGTCTAAATAAACACCAAATGGTACCAACCTGGTTGTCAGGACACATTTGTCCCAGGAAGCTGGTGGCGGCCACTCCCACTTTTGGCAGCACTGGCCCGGAAGCTAACTGCTGGGCCTTCATGCAAATGTGTTTGTATTTATGGGTTTCCTCTGGCCCAGGACCCTGGGCCTAAAGCAGAAGACTTTTCCAGGTGGCTGCAGGGAGCCCCGGATGTCTCTGTGGGGTGATGGGCCAGCTGTAGCTGTCTCTGGAAGGGCAGAGACGTAGAAGGCATAAGCAGAGGCTTTGAGGCTGGCCCCAGATGAGGGAGGAGAGGAAGAAAATACAGCTCAGGCTTCAGGCATATCTGGATTTAAATCACAGAGTAGCCGAAGGATGTGGGCACGTCACTTGATCATTTTAAGCCTCAGTATTGGGTGGGCGTGGTGGCTCACACCGATAATCCTAGCCCTTTGGGAGGCTGAGGTGGGAGGATTGCCTGAGCCAAGGAGTTTGAGACCAACCTGGACAACATAGCGAGACCCTGTCTCTTTAAAAAAAAAAAGAAGGAAAAAAAGGCTCAGTTTCCTCTAAAATGGGGGCAAGGCAAGGAGACCATAGCTGTAACTCCTCATCTCATTACCATTTATCCCTGCCTTTGCCGCAGAGGAGTCTGTGTCTAAGTTCTAGAATCTATATCATAGCAGCTTTTGCCTACCTGGGGAAGGAGACACAGGCAGGGTGGGAGAGAAAGGTGGAAAAATGATGAGTGACTGGGCCAAGGTTGACAGACGTGCTCCAGTGTGCCTGTCGTGCAGGTGAGGAATGGCTCCAGGAGACCAGGAGGCGCCGGCATCCCCCCTGAGTGTGCTCAGCTGGAGACAGTGAGTCTACTCTGCCCTCCTCCCCACCGACTCCATGTCTCCCCCTCTCCTGGCTTTTCATTGCTTCTGCCTCCCTCACTACCTCTCCCTCTTTCTGTTCCCGCCCTGCTGTCTCGGGCACCGGTCTCAGGCAGAGCCTGCTCTTCAGACCTTCTGGTCTAGCCCTGGCCCTCTGTCCCTAGAGGGGGGTGAGACACTCCTAGCACCAGATTGGCTGGCCTGGGCAGCCAAGCAGCTGACTTCCAGCAAGTTCATTTTTCTGGGCTTAGGTACAAGTTTCCACAACTGGAGAGGGCGGGATGGTATGGGGCTGGTGCTGGCTCAGGGAGGGGGCTGCAGGGATGGGGGCCAAACTCTCCCCAAAGAGACCAAATGTCCCCTTCTCCCCACCTCCTATCTTAGGAAAACTTCCTCTTGAATTCCTGCTCTGCCTTGGGCCAGCCTGGCTGTCCAGGACAGCAGGGAAAACCTCAGAAGTGCTTGTCCCGTGGGCTTACAGGTGGGGGAACTGGCAGCATGGCATGGGCTCTGTTCTGGGACACTGGGGCTGTAGGAGCCCAGAGGAGGTGCCTGGGGGCCCCCTGTTCCCTGCCTCTGCCACAACACACACATTCCCCAGGAACCCCATGGAGCCATTCAGAGGGAGGTTAGAACAAAAACGTGGTTGGTGTCTGAACTCAGAGCTTCCCAACATCCTCCTGAAGCACCAAAGTGGAGCCTTGCACCTCAAGCCCAGTTTTCTCCAGTGTGGAACGGGGGAATAGGTTGTTTATCAGCCAGAGGCAGTGGAGGGTGGTGGGAAGAACATGGTGCCTGGAATCAGAAGCCTGGGGTTTGAATTCCGCTCTGCCGCCTACATACCATGCACTCGAGTTCCTTCATGGGCCTCAGTTTCCTCATCCGTAAAAGCAGACCATTAATCCCCTGCCTCATGGAACTGACTCTGGCGGGCCCTTGTAGGACTGTTGCAGATACTCAGTGGTGCCAGGCAGAGCCCAGGAAAGGACAGGGGCTGTGCCCGTGAGGTCCACCTCAAGCAGCCCAGGACAGGAAGCAGCTGCTAAGGACACTGCCAAATCACCTGGGAGGCTACACCATTCCAGGCCGGTTCCCAGCCATTGGGTGGGTGCCAGGCCTGATCCAGCAGCCTCAGGAAATGCTTCTTATGGCTGGGCCCTGAACCACACTTTCGCTGGGACCTGGGGACCCTGAAGCAGGCAGACTGCCCTCTGCCTCCCACCTGCCAAGTAGGTATTCGAGCAGCAGCCAGCCTGGTCCCCCTGTGCAAGGACCAAACAGAGCTGGGTCCCCCATCAGTGCTGGGCGGAGCGACATGGGTGCAGGAGGCCCTGAAGGCAGGAGCACGGGCTTGGCTACTAGACAGCCCTGGGTTCGAACTGTGCATGTCCCTGGTTGTGTGACCTCAGTAAATGACTTAACCTTCCAGCACCCTAACTTCCTCTACTGTAAAATGGGGATTGCTATGATGGCTGCTGTGGACTGTGACGATGTCTCTAAGTGCAGGGCATGAGCTCAGCATGCACTAGGTGCATAGGAAACAGCAGCCACTGTGACCCCATGCTCCGGTGGGATGAAACATGCTCAGGAGAGCAGACCTGTCCACTGCACACTGCACTTCGAGTGCAAGCCCTCTAACTGGACTCTAGGTGGGCAGTTAAATGCACCCACCCATGACCCAGTGGTGCCTTTCAGGCAGAGCTACCTGGGAACTTCACCCAAGGGCCCCAGGAGGCTTGCCAGGAAGCCCACCACTGCATGGATTAATTGGGAAAAACGGGAAGCAAGCAGAAGGCCCAGCAGCCAGGGAACTGGTTAAATACTCTCCTGGCGTGGAAAGTGGTGCGGCGCCAAGTGATCGGCAAAAAGAGCCACTGAGAGAATCAAAGATGCAGCCAGATTCTACCCTGTGGTTCCATGGGCCAGCTCATGAAGGCACCCAAAGTCTCAGGCACAGGGAAGGGCTGCAGAGATGAAGGATGGAGGGACGGACAGATGGATGGATGGATGGGTGAATGAATTAATGAATGAATGAATGGACTGTCCAGACCCCAGGTCCCTTTAAGGCAGTGGCTCTCAAATTCAGCATGTGCTGCTGGTCCTGCGTCAAGTTCTAACCAGCGGGTCTCAGTCCTGGCTGTCACTGGAAGCTGATGCCAGGCTGCCCTGGTCTACGGTGATCTGCGGAGGGCCCGGGCATCCGTACTTTGAAAGCTGCCCCCTGCGGTCCCACCTGCTCCAAGATCCAGAGCCAGTTGGGGAATCTGCATTTTGCCCAGTCACCCTGGTGAAGCCAGAAAATGCTACTCTGAACAGGCCACACCCTGGAAGGCGAAGTCAACCGCCTGTACAGCCCAGCCGCGGCCCGCAGAGGCCCGAGCACCCGCTCCGCAACCTGCGCGCCGCCTGCGCGGAAGACCACGGGCGGAGGATTGGTGGCCAGGAAGGGACAGTACGGAAAGCATGCGGCCCCAGCTGGGCTACAGCGCCCTCTGGCGGCCAGAAGGCTCGCGGGCGCCGCGGAGGCCGCAGACCCCAGCAGGGGAGGACCTCCGCGGAAGGGAGCGCTAGCTTTCCCGCTACTCCCTGGGGAAATATTTCAACAAAGAGATACTGGGGGACCATTTTGGAGAGGTTCAGAGATGTGGTGGTTACAGCTAGACAGCTCCCTGGTATTTTTAGAATCTCTAGACGGCCCTAAATTCAACCATTCCAAGGTCACAGCCACATTCACCCATTTATTATTTATTAATTTATTTAGAGATAGGGTCTTGACCTGTCACCCAGGCTGGGGTGCAGTAGTGCCATCACAGCTCACTGCAGCCTCGACCTCGTGGGCTTCTCAAGCAATCCTCCCACCCTCAGCCTCCCGAGTAGCTAGGACCACAGGCATGTGCCACCCTGCCTGGCTAATTTTGTATTTTTGGTAGAGATGGGGTTTCACCAAGTTACCCAGACAGGTCTCAAATTCCTGAGCTCAAGCAATCCTCCCATCTCGACCTCCCAAAGTGGTGGGATTACGGGCGTGAGCCACCATGCCCATGAGCTCACTGTGCACCTGCTTCTTCCTTGGCCTCCCTCCAAGCTGGATGGGGTCTTCAGCTCCCTCCTGCACCCTGACTGTGCCCAGCACGTGACCCCGGATGACTACCCTGTGTGATGCCAGAGGCTGGGGAGCTGGTTGTGGTTTCCTGAGTTCTGACCATCCTCCCAGGCACTTTATCTCCTTAGGTTGGGGCAGGGGGGGAGATACATGCAGCTGAAAATATAAGACCCGGCAGCAAAGAAAGGGAATGGGGACAAAGAAAGGCCCCCAAAGGTAAGAGCCAGGTCTGAGGCAGCACAACTCAGACCAGGCCAGACGTGTGAGGTTTGGGGCACTCCTTGGGTATAGTTGTCAGATTGAATCAGCCCTTCACATAACCTCAGTGATTTAAGTCTTCAGAACTTGAATGCCAGCTCTGAAATCAGGCTTCTTAAGTGGGCTTTAGAAGTTTGATATGGTTTTGCTGTGTCCTCACCTAAATCTCATCCTGAACTGTAGTTCCCATAATCCCCAGGTAATCGTGGGAGGGACCCAGTGGGAGGTAATTGAATCATGGGGGTGGTTACCTCCAGGCTGTCCTCATGATAGTCAGTGAGTTCTCACGAGATTGGATGGTTTTATAAGGGGCTTCCCCCACCTCATTCC